AAGTCCGGACATTGACCAAATTCCCCCCGGACGCTATTTTTAACCCGAAAAAGCCGGACATGTCCGGGGGAATCCGGACGAATGGTAACCCTAGGTAAGTGAAATGGCCAAGAAACAGTGTTTAGCCCACTGAGTATTTTCAGTTCATACACTATGCTTTTCCGGGATGATGGGTAAACATCTTCCCATGAAAAGACAAAAAAAAAGGGGAATGTAGGCCTTGCTGGAGCCCTAGGCATAACTAACCATGTGAACCAATGGCTGGGAACCAGAATAGACCTGGCCTTGGCAGAATGGTAGCACACTAAGTGTCAGCTAAGCAAGTAAGCACATTCCTGACTAGTAAGGAGGGTATAAAAACCACACAGATCTCTCAAGTAACTACATAAACACATTGCTAAGAGATGGTAGAGGATCACACTGACCCCTTGTGAAAATAAGGAGGGGATGACATGATAACGCATAAGGATGTTTTGTTCAAACTAACTGGTACAAGGATAAGGATGGTAGCTACAGTTGGAGTGTGAGATGTATATTGTTTGCATCAACGTATAAAAGGAAAAGTCACAGGAGGGGATATTTGTGGTAGCTCAGGGGACAGCATCTTGGTTTTCTAATTGAGCTGGTACCATTGTCGGGTGGGGTGGGGGGGAAGAGAAGAATAAAACATGTGTTACTGTACCTGTGCCCATTGAGCTGGGACACTAGTACCGTACTTCATAGACAATAAACCTGGCCAAGTGTTTTAGCCACCGAACTGAGCCTGTGGTCTTTTTTTATGATCAAGACTGAGGTCTGCTGAATGGGCAAGCTGCCCTCTCTGCTAGTACAGCTGACTCAGAGCTCCAGAAACAGCAGCACTGAGCAGCCATAATAACATTCTGTGGCGCTAACAACAAATCATACATCACTGCAGACACTACGGGAAGCAAAGATTATTAATAACAGCCGCACCTGGAATCTCCAGTCTAAATCAGGAACACATTGTGCTATCAGTGGTGCTCGTATGGGCCCCCATGATCACAGTATCTGAGCATCTCACAGATTTAATACATTTATCCTTACATAGCACTGTGAAGTAGGGACATACTATAATACCCATTGCAGAGACAGGGGACTGAGGCACAGACAGTCTAAGTGACTTGCCCAAGGTTACACGGGAAGTCTGTGGCAGAGCAGGGAATTGAACGGAGGTCTCCTGAGACCAAGTGCAGTGTCTGAAAAGAAGAAGAGCTCTCCTCACTTTTATCTATTACAGTGATACACCCCACAGAACACTTGCAGAGCATTAACTACTTCATAAGCCCTCACTCAGCCCCAGAACCCAGCCCCTCTCACTGGGAGGAACTGGCATTTCACAGAGATCAGCCATAGCCAGGAAAGGACTCCAGGAACTGCACCCTCCTTCCCAGGGTTCAGCACACTGGCACAAAAGGTAGGCCTGGAGACACTAACAGCAGCCAGCCCCAGCCCCAGAATTCTGGTACATGCCATTCCTGACTGGGCCCTTCCACTCACACCTTTGGCCAAGGCAGAACATGGACAAGATGGTGGTGAAGCACATTGAAACCTTGGTTGTGGGAAGAGTAGCACCATTGTTATGTCCCTGAATCTTCTGTCGCTTGGGAGGGGACATGGAGGGGACAGTCTCTCATGCAGGAGCCAGGGATTATTGGGGCTGATCCCCCTGACATATGTGGGGCCAATGAAGAATTTTGAGCCAAACTCAACCCAGCTACTCCAGAGCCCACACAGCTTCTGATAGCTGAGGAGACAGAAATCCTTACCCAGAGAGATCACAGTCTCATAATTCTCCTGCATCACATCCCTGTAGAGGGCCCTCTGACCCGGGTCGAGCAGAGCCCATTCCTCCTCGGAGAAATACACAGCCACCTCCTCGAAGGTCACCGGCTCCGCTGCAGCCATTTCCTTTCCCTGTCTCTGGAGGGCATGGGATGATCTGCAGAAAGATATGGATGTTCTGCAGCCTGTCAGGGTGAGAAGGGCAATTGGAGACATTTCAGGAAGGGCTTTAATCCTTTCCACACCCCTATTCCCCCCAGAATCTTTCCCTGTTGACAGACATTCTAGACTCTGATGTTTTGGGCAAATGCTTGAGTCTAGATATTACACAAACAACACACAAAAGTTAGATCCCAAATCCATATTAATTTCTCTCAATACGTGGCTTGAGTTTCCAAATTACTGCGCCTGCAACAATGGGATTCAGTTCTGAGTGTCCAGTGTTTCTGATTAACAAGCTGCTTATTCAGCTGCCTGAATATGGATTTAGGTGTCTAAATTTAGGATCCTTTATTTAAAGCCCCTAGTCTTCATCAATCTATCTAGTATCAGAGGGGTAGCCGTGTTAGTCTGAATCTGTAAAAGCAACCATCTGAAGAAGTGAGGTTCTTACCCACGAAAGCTTATGCTCCCAGTACTTCTGTTAGTCTCAAAGGTGCCACAGGACCCTCTGTTGCTTTTATCAATCTATCTGTAGCATAGAGCTAGGCCCTCTAACCAGGACTAAAAAACCCAGACTTTTTAAACCCTCTTCACAACAGAGATTAGGTGAAGTCAATGGGACCATTCAGATGCTTAATATTAAACATAAAGAAGAACAGGAGTACTTGTGGCACCTTAGAGACTATATATAGTCTCTCTCTCTCTATATATAGATTCTATATGCATCCGAAGAAGTGGGCTGTAGTCCACGAAAGCTTATGCTCTAATAAATTTGTTAGTCTCTAAGGTGCCACAAGTACTCCTGTTCTTCTTTTTGCGGATACAGACTAACACGGCTGCTACTCTGAAACCTGTCAATATTAAACATGTGTGGTGAGTGTTTGCAGGATGAGATCCTAAGATCCATAGATTCAGGGCCAGCCCACAACATTTTGGCACCTGAGGCGGGGAGCTCAAATGACGCCCCCATGCCCACTCGCTTGGAACAAAACTTTGAAAGGACTCAATTCTGCCTTCTTCCTGTTCTACTCCTCTCATGGTACTGCTCTGCTACCTACCCCACTAAAGGAGAACTAACAACTTAAAATGCCTTGTTCAAAAATGTTAAGTAACACTTAACTTTCAAATGCCAGAACAGCAAATGTAACTTTTCTTGTCTGCATAGTAAACACTGACATTTTTATCTTTTTGAATAATCAAAGTGGTGCTGTCCGTGCCTTCTTAGTTGCAAAGATTTGAACTGCTTCCTGCTGAAGGCCCACAGTCTGGGCCAGCTCATGCTCTTTTGAGATGGTTGCAAGGACGACCAGCCTCTCCTGTGTCATTGTGGAGCATAGATGTGTTTTTATTAACTTCAGCTTGGAGAAGCTGCGTTCTCCACTGGCAACTGTTACAGGAAGTGTGGGAAGTATGCACAGAGCAACAAAAGCATTTGGAAAGAGGGTGGGGATCTTATCTGTGCACATATATTCCAGAACAGCCTTTGGAGTTGATCTTGCTGAAATGTATCTTGAAAGAGCTTTCAGTTCATCACCTAAATCACTCACATCAATATTGCGCATGTCATCATGTGTCAAC